AAAAGCTTCTTTCAATCGAAACTGAATTTTTTCTCGAATATCGCGTCTTTAAAACGCGTGCACGTCGCGTTTGCATTAACATAAACGGAGAACGAGACAGAGATTCGTCCATTTTACGCGTGACTTCGCTCGTTCCACTGTAGTTACAAATTCGCGGATGGATGCGCCGTAAGTAGAAGCTGACGAGACAAAGATTCGACAAAGCGGAGGTGGTATTATGCGGCAACTCAGGTGTCCTAATGGAAACAATAGGGGGACCGCGTGCAGTTTGCACGCAGCTAGAAAGCAAGCAGAAACCGGCATAAATATTTCAACCTGTCTCCGTGTGCACAGATCCAACAATATGGCGCCTTACGAACAGTTTCGCGCAACCTTCCTTCGAATATTCGTCTCTCCAAAAACACGCATCCAAGCGGTCGCGAATAAATCACAAAAAGCTGTTCCTCGATTTGCACCGGTGCGACACGGAACGGTTTTTCACCTTCCTTCCTTCGAGACAATGTTTTTCGACCTATAGATTACAATTATAGATTTATCCATGAATTTCTCGAAAGAATAAATTGTGGATTTATTTATTTCTTGCATTTCTTTGCATTTCTTGAAATTATATTTGAATTAAATTGTGCTTAAACTGTGCAATTAACATATGTTGCTGGTTATCTATCAAGGAAGAAAAATTATCTAAATATTTCTTATTTATATACGTAAAATTATTGAAAGGTAATATTACAGTCGGCTACAGGATTAAATTGAATAGATTATTATCTTCTAATAATAATCTTCCTTTGGAGTTTCTCTAAAGTTCTTTGAACCTATACATTTATAAAAATTGTCGATTTAAAGAAATATATCATGATCAAATGAAGAAGAAAAAGAAATTTCTCCGTGCTGTTTCTTCTAACGAAGTTTTATTAGACGTTGGGACGAGTACAAAGTGGGTCGAGTTTTCATTCAATAACGGAGTGAAAGATAGTGGTAGTTTTATTAATGCTAAATGTGTATCTCTGCATCCGTATTTGCCACGTATTTACGAATTCTTTGTATTCTCCCGTGTAGTTTAAAACCGGGTATAATGAGAAAGTTCCGTTGGTACTTCCTTTTCGAGAAAACTTTTCTCGTTTCAACGGGATAACTTTGTATCGCGGGATGGCACTTGAATATTATATCAGAAATATTTTTACTTTATATATCGAAAATATAGCCCCGATACGAAGTTGGGATCGTAAGTGAATGATCTTATATTTCATGTATTTATAGGTGTATAAAAATTATCATATACGATGCAGAATGTCGTAAAAACCGCATCTAGTTCAAGGAAATGAAACTTGAAAACCAAAAATTATTCGTTCAAAAATATGATATCCTCTTCAACGATATATTTATTGGTTTCAACGCATTTAAATATTTTAACGTGATAAATAAATAAATTGAAATTAATGCAAAAATCGTACTATCAAATAAAAAATATTCAGTTATTCTATTATTTTCAATTTTGTTATTAACAAAGATCTTTCAATATCGAAGATTTTATCGCGTATTTTATTTAATAAATATGTAATAAATATTTTGCAAAGATTTTCCAAACAATATGATACAATTCAAGGAAAAAAATTTTAATAAATTCAATAATAAACCTATGCTCTGAATAAAACTCTAAATAATATATTAAAATCCATTATCACGTAAATCATCTAAAATTCTTGAAAATAAACAATGTTGAAATATTCGTATTAATATTTTTAAACTTTAATGCTATTTAGCGTACCAAAATCCTAGTGCTTTCAGATTTTACTAAAATATACGGACTACAGAAAAAAACATGTATAATTTAAAAAAATTTTAAAATTCATACGAAAATTTAAATTTCAAAATTTAAAATATCGATGCCATCTATCTCACTAAAATCCAATAACGAGAATTCTCTAATCCTACTGAAAAAATATATACATATATATCTAGATTATACAAATTTCAAAATTTAAAACATTATGAAATCTAAGAGAATTTGAAATTTTCCAACATTACTAAAAAATATAACATAAATAACATAAAGATTCAAATATCATTTCCCTTAATTACAAATCGTAAACATAAAACTCGAATCTTTCTACGTAAGATCGCGCATATTCCGCGTCGCTTAAATAAACGATTTAAAAAGCGCATCATTATCGCGTTTCCACGGCGCTTCCATTCAAGCTCTCTCTCGTTGAAACGCTTAGCGATTCATTTGCTCGCAAACGTAAGAAACGCTTCTCGACTTCCTTTAAAACCGTGACGACACCGATATATCCCTTCTTTCTACAAAACTTTCTAAAAAACTGGAACTGTGTCAGGAGATGTAAACCGAGGTCCGATGAAAATAAATTCATTTAAAGAAAATTCCAAGCTTGCCCGAGGGATGGAAAAGCTCCAAGCGCGAACGGCTTGGAAATTAGTGACATGGCGAACAGAATTTCCCGATTTCCCAGGTCCAGGTCAGGAGCTGGCCGTTGCGTGCATTAATTTCGTGAAAGCCACCGTCTTTATGAAGCTTCTCCAGGATTTCATCCGACGTCGCGGCGCGATATTACGCTCTCGAGGCGCGAGCAACCGTGTGCACTCGACTTGCAACACGCGCTCACCCGAAAATTGACCGCCGTGTCATCCGTATTACGTATTAACGCCAGGCAAAATTCCCTGCCCTAGTTTCCATAGAGAAAGAAGAACGACTTTAATCAGCCGCTCGCTCTTCCGTGGGATCAACCCGTGCAATCGGTCGAACTTCATATTCATTACTGTCCATTGTTCGGTTGGCCCGATAAAAATTTATCTCCCTATGACCACGATCGATCACCGCTACCATTGCTACCTTCCCCTCTCCCGACTTCGCACACCTTTCTCTCTCTCTCTATCTCTCTATCTCTCGTTAACTCCTTTCGTCTATCGATATATATATATAGGTCGAGCTAAGTTATTGGACAAGGTAAATTATAGGGTTCGAGACATCGGAAATTGGAAAATTAGCACGCGTTCGGGCATCACGATGCCTTGTCTACGAGCGTGTCCAATTTAGAAACATGCCTTGTCTCGGCTATGACTAATGGAGACAGGTTTGAATGCGACAGATTCCGAATTTGACGACGACTTTGAAAGGAGGAGGAGGAGGAAGAGGAGGAGGAGGAGAGAGGAGGAGAGAGGAGGAAGGAGAGGAGAGAGGAGAAAGGAGAGGAGGGAGAGGAGGGAGGAGGAGATCGTAATTTCGTTCTATTCGTTCGATCGCGATTTAAGGGGCGGCCGTGATTGTAATTGGCGACGAGCTGGGTTGGTAAATGGTGGCTGGTGATACGTGTAGGTATGTTTGTGGACGAGTGTGCAGCGTGAATGGGAAAACTCGAGGGGATGTATCACTTTAACGAGACTCCGGATAGCTTTATCTTCCGCTGTGACTTTTAATTCTGTGTTTCCAGGTAACTTTTCTGTAAGAAAGTTTGCACTTGAAGCGTTTCATTCTCGCGCTGTGTTTTCAACCGAGGTGAAACGAGATTGCACGGGGAATAATATTCGAAAAAAATGAAGAGAGATAGGAATTTTTAAATGGACTTCTTCGATGAATAACCGCTTTACTTTCAACTGTCCATTTTAAGGATCGTGAATGCGATAGTATGCTAGAATTTTTCGAATTTCTACCTAATTTTCACGTTTATTAATTAAGATTCTATAACTGAAATTAAATATTAAAATTATTATTTAAAAAATTGCATAACGAAGAAAAAAAGGTGGCAATTAATAGATTAATTAGGATCATTGTTTCTGCAATTGAAAGAAAGAATACATTGTTTTAAAATAGAATACTGCGTTTGCATTGAACAACAATAGTATTTCATAAATAGTATTATCTATAAAATAATATACTTTCACGAATCAGAAGTTAGAGACAGTTGATCTAAAATGTTAGCAAGTAATTACGATACAGACTAAATTTTCATTCGTCTGTTCCTTTCCAAATTTGATAAATTACCGAGCAAATACTAGCTCTTTGTCTCGTAAAAGCGAGACCCGGTCGTAGAAGCGATTTAATTAAAATGTCATTTAGCCCGTGGTATGACGTACTTTGTGATCGTTTCGCTTGTTTCGAATATTTCGTTCAACTGGCGGCGTACAACCTGTAAGACAAAGAATGGGAAAGAAATAAGATAGTTTTTGCCATGACATTGGAATGCTATGCGAAAAGTGTTGCAGAGAACACGAATGCTATTTGTTAGGAACGTGCAATACTATATATTACACGATACTCACTTCTATATAACGAATTCTATGTTAATTTTCCATTGATAATTAATATATCGATTACTATTATAATCTATCATTATCAACGCGGTGATTTATGTACAAATAAAATTAATTAATTATGAAATTTTAATATTAATTTATTCTAAGAGAACGATTTGAAAATATTTAAATTTAAAATAGTATAAATGATAAAAATCTATTTATTTGAAGTATTTATGGAATCAGAAATTTTATCATACTTAAATAATACTTCTAACTTTATTAGAATTAGGAATATATTTGAAAATAAAACTCTCGAAAGTTACTAATTTAATAATAGATAATATACTGAGAATACAAATAATTGTAATTTTCAAGAGTTTTACTCTTAAATGTGTTTGTATTTTTATAATTGCAATATACATGTGTGTAAAGTGTAAAGAAAATTTATTATATTAGCATAAAAAAATAACAAAGAAGTTATTTCTAATTATTTTACTTCGGATCGTTATTGTTTTATACTAATGTATAATTATAAAATATAATTTTGTGAAATATAGTTTTGTATTTAAAAAATTTCAATGAAATCCCATTTACACAAAGATAAACTAAAACATGCAGTTGCTTCAACTGAAGTTTCTAATACAATTTTACATGATATGTAATTTTAGATGATTTTCGCTTTGAGATCTAGTATTACATAATTAAGCGAATTCGTGTAATATCCAACTAATCGTCATTTATCTACTTACTTATACCATTTATGCTCCGTTTAAATGTATGACCATGTACCATATAAATTCTCTTTGAAAGCATTTAGTTCCTAAAAATATAAATATAAAAATATAGATATAAAAATATAGATAATCTTAAAAAATAAAATAAAAGATAGTATAATATTTAATATTTTATTTAGTATTGTTCCCAATCCTAAGATCAAATATCTATTAAATATATTCTAATTAATAACGAAGCTATATATATTTTAATATAACATAAAGTCATTTTCATATATTCTAATACACCAACTAAACTTCAAGGAATATCAAAACATTTCTAATTGAGTAACTCGAAATCGAGCAAAGCAACATCAAAGGTCGCAAATGACCACGCAACTATAACATTCTAATCACATAAATGTTTAGCGAATCGCAGTGACTCATCAATACAAAAACGCAAAAGGCTAATCATCGTTCGAAATAATGTAAATTAGGTCGAAATAGCTCCGATTTTATTTGCGCCATTGATCTATTCATCTTTACACCCGTGATAAATTAATCAATCAATCATTGTCGATAAGTTAAACGAAATTCCGAAAGAGTTTTCTCCATGAATTTCTCTGACCGTACCACACAAACGTCGTTTAACTTTAGAGAAAGAAACAAAATGGTGAATCAATCGGTCGTGACGAGCGTCTCGTGGGAATACATAGAACCGGAGACATTTTGTGACAAATTGACTCGCGATGAGCGACAAAGGAACAACTATGGCTGGATATACTTTGACTGACGCGAAGGGATCAACTATTTCGAATTTCGATGTCGATTCGATAGAAACGCACGACATTTTGTTTCCCGAGATCTTTCGTTATCGCTATGGCTTCGATTTTGTAACGAAATTGCGCTATTATTGTATTTGACGAGCGATTTGTCAAAGTAACTAACATATCACGTACGACGTTATAAGAATAGAACAATATGTGGCACTCACCTCTTTTTTCTCGATAATAATAATATTATTTGAAGAATGAAGTAATTCTTGGTTGTTGGAAAATGTTCCGTTCGAGTGGGAAAATATGAAAAACGTGAAATGAAGACGTAAAAAGAATTAACAATGTCAGAACGTTTCACACTCTGGAATCCAAATTTCGGAATGAATCGGAAAACTTCGGACAGGATCGGGCTTCGACGACTTCGGAATGATTCGGCAATATTCGGACACGATCGGTTAAAGACTGTGACAGAGCTATGAGTTTCGAGCTCTCGAATGTATTAGTGCGATTATTATCGAACTCTCGAGTCTCGAGATTAGTGTCTACGTTCCGTCGATTCTCTGAAAAATTGTGAGTGTATTTTTGGAATATTGTCAAGAATAATTAAGAATTTCCATACATCTTTAAAAATTAATCAATATGATAAAAGAATTTTGTGAAAAATCTTTATGGGAAATGTATAAGGTATTAATATTTTTCTCTATATTATATTTTTTATGTCGATGTCGATTCGATAGAAACGCACGACATTTCGTTTCCCGTGATCTTTCGTTATCGCTATGACTTCGATTTTGTAACGAAATTGCGCTACATTATTGTATTTGACGAGCAATTTGTCAAAGTAATTAACATATCACGTACGACGTTATAAGAATCGAACAATATGTGGCACTCACCTCTTTTTTCTCGATAATAATGCTATTATTTGGAGAATAAAGTAATTTTTGGTTGTTGGAAAATGTTCCGTTCGAGTGGGAAAATATGAAAAACGTGAAATGAAGACGTAAAAAGAATTAACAATGTCAGAACGTTCCACACTCCGGAATCCAAATTTCGGAATGAATCGGAAAACTTCGGACAGGATCGGGCTTCGACGACTTCGGAATGATTCGACAATATTCGGACACGATCGGTTAAAGACTGTTGACAGAGCTATGAGTTTCGAGCTCTCGAATGTATTAGTGCGATTACTATCGAACTCTCGAGTCTCGAGATTAGTGTCTACGTTCCGTCGATTCTTTGAAGAATTGTGAGTGTATTTTTGGAATATTGTTAAGAATAATTAAGAAATTCCATACATCTTTAAAATTAATTAATATGATAAAAGAATTTTGTGAAAAATCTTTATGGGAAATGTATAAGGTATTAATATTTTTCTCTATATTATATTTTTTATGTCGATGTCGATTCGATACAAACGTTATTGAAGTATGGTTATGTAGAATTAGATTAGAAAATATTTTAAATCATAGATCATTGAAAAGCAAATTAATAATTTATTGTATTTTCAGAACTTTTGTGTTTCGTTTTAAAATATTCAAATAAAGAACTCTTTCGCCATAGTACGCTGTGAAATATATAAAAATTTTTCATTACGTGTGACATTAACCTCCATCAGATTAGGCTGTGCTTAATCGTCTATGTACTTAATTATACGTAACAAACTTTTCTCTTTCTTTCTTTTCAACTTCCTCTGTGGTTCTTTTATTCTTTGAATATTCGTTCATAAATTTAAATGCTTATTGTTCTTATTCTCATTAAACTACTTACTGTCAACATTTAATCTTTAGTAAGGTTATAATATCTAATCTTTATTTTTTCTTTCTTTTTTATGAATAATTATACAGTATCGACTAAAAATTGCAATTTCTATTTTGCACAATTCAAGAATATTCAAAAAAATTTAACTTAGAATTCTACAATGTTATAAAATTGTTTTATAAAAAATTGATTAATTTTTATTTGATAAAATTAACACTATGACAACTAATAATGAGATTTAGCATTATTAACCAATATATATACCAATATTTATATTAATTTTTGCATCTAATGTAATTAAATGTTTATATTTCACAGAAAACCACAAGTGTTATCTATATCAATACACGGAATCAAGATAAAATCATGGTAAAACTACGCATTTAGATCACAGTTTGCAATAAATGAAGGGAAACATCGACATGTCTAGGAACACCGATTTCTACCAAGCGCAGCCTCGAGAGCAGTTGAACTTGACAGGAAAGTATGAAATTGGATCAGTCGCAAACATCTACGCCACGACAGGATATTAACTGGGATGCAGGCGGGAAACGAGTCGGGGAAAGGTTTTTCTTGCCGCGACAAAGCCGATATACACGAACGAGAAAGATTCTAAATGAGTTGCCAACCTTTTATCGCTTGAATTTCTTTCTGCACGTTCTTTTTTTTTTTTCTTTTCCATTTACCTCCCACTCCTTTCTCTCTTTTTCCTGTATACGACACGCCCTATATTTTTTCGTGTCATCCAAGAATACCGAATTTCAATTCCCGTCGCGCGACATTCAACTCTTTAACGCGTTGTCAATTTCCGTGGAAAGATTCGAAACGCTTTACACTGTACATAGTTACATATAGTTTTTCTTTTTTTAATTTCGTATAAAATTTCTGTATTTTTAGCAATTAATTCCACGATTCAACGAATTTTCGTCAAATATTTACATTCACTTGCAAAACATCGAATTCATAATATCGTTACCTATCAAGTTTCCCCCTATTTTCCTCTGATATGAAATTTTTACACGCACCCGTTTCTATTTTTTTCTCAAATTTTAACGAAATATCATTATGCAATTTCAATCCAATGTTTAAAAATTTTTTTTTCCTATCGTACAAATTCTAGGAATTTTCTCAGAGAACTGTGTCATTAACAATTCTACGTGCATATCCTTGAATATTTGAAAATCTTTATGAATTTTCAAACAAAATTTCTAATAGAGTTAATGTTTACTTACAAAATCGATCTTTTTTTTTTTTGTAGTTCTCTCTATGTTGTCGCGAATATGGAAAATATTTGCACGATAATATTAGCAAGGATGTCACGAACGGATAACATAGATGGTGATATATAATGTTAACGTTGTTCGTGATACATAGGATACAATAGGATTAGAAATATCGATTTTACGGATAATACAACAAAGGGTTGAAATATACAAAATAATCCACTTGAAACACTCTCTATTGGATTTGAGCTTTCAAAAATATGTCAACAATGAATAATCCGTTTCAAAAATCGAATAGAAAATTATTCTTGTAAAATTATTGATTTTACGTAGAAATTAAGTCTCTTTAATTCCTTGATTGTTACATAATTTTTATATGATAATATTTATCATGTATATATACTACACTACAGTTAAAAATTTAAAATGATTCTACACAACACAACTATTTCAATTGTCTGAGTTATTTAGTTTATTTAGTCCATCAAAATTGTTTAGATTTCATAATATTCAAAATTCAAAATTCAAGAATAAATAAATGTTTAAGATTAAGAAAGTTCAGAAATTTTATACTCATCTCAATGACCAATTTAAAACACAATGAACCAATCTACAACTACAGTTATTCAAAACGAACATTGACAAGGAAAAATAATACAAATTGACTTAATTGAAATCGTCCAACAAGCTTCAACTGTTGCTTTACCACTATCAATTGATGAACGATCATCAAATGATCGAATGACATATATTCGGACAATCATCATTGGCCATAATAAATTTTCAGTAATTGTACTAATGCGAGATCCATGTAAATGCTCGTTCATCTTCCACAAAGGAACGAGATACCAGGTCAATCGTTGGGATCCGATGTCTCGGGAGGATACTGTTGGAGACGATCTTGCAGTGACATATCGGGCCACTGCAGTGTGGTGCAGTGAACGCATAGATCAGCGTTGGAAGGCAATTCCGGAAGATTCTGGTTGCAAGGGATTGAAGACGCACCAATCTGCGATCGTTACGAGCTTTCCCCTCCATTTCCAGAAATCTCCTGAATTTGTCAATTATTGGCAGGTTAATAGATACAATGCATCTGTAAACACGGCAACAGATAATTGGAGAATGGGATACGCATGAATAGCACACTTCTAATTACCTTAAAATTAATTTTTTCAAGGTAAAATTGTAATACTGTCCAAATGTTTGAAACTGGTAAGAAATTTTGAGTGAATGAATCAAATTTTATTTATTATAATTAAAATTCCTTTAATAAATTATTTTACTTAATTACCCTATTTGAGGAATAAAATATTTTTTTATTAAAAAATTAATATTATAATTGATCTTGAATTTGGTGATTCGTATCACCTTTTATTGCTATAGAACAACAGTTGATTGGTTCTGATCGAATTTCTCTCGATTAGAGGGAAATTGTTAGTACGATATTAATTGGTAGGTCAAATTTTTCCGGGAACGATATGTTTGCTAAACGTGTAAATTCACGCGTTAATCGTTCACGAAATTCGTTGAATGTACGCGGACAATTAACAAGTACGAGTAATTACATGGTAAAAACAGAGTATTGCGGGGATACGTGAAAATGGAAGCTCATTTTGTGTGGGTTAAACGCTTCGTATAATCGTAAAACTGTTGTTGTAAGTCTAAAACAGTTTAACCGCACGAATATTTATATGTTATTGATATGAGTTATCGTTTCGATGTTGATCGATCATGTTTTACGTATATCGAATCATATTCAAAACACAAAATTCACGATCTGCTTTATAGTTTTCATAAATTCGTTCGTAAATCGGTATCCTTCGTGTGTTACGATTACAAAATTTCTAAAATTTCTTATATTTTGATATATTTTGCAATTGTACTTACTCTCGTGGCACATTTAATTAATCCCCATACGCAGTCAAGAAACAAAATGGAGCAGTACATACCTGTAAAAAAGAAAATAAAAATATCAATATCAAAAGTCTATTTCACTATTTCAATTTAAATTTCAATTAAAGAAAAATTTCGTCTTTCTTTTTTTACATATATTGATATACTTTTATATGTGAAAAATATTCTTTTACATGATATTAAAAGAAGAAAGAAAGATCTTATATCACAAAATTGATCGTATATTTCTTATATCTGATACATTATTTTATATTTTAATTTCAAATCCATTAAATCTTTTATCAATAAATCAAATTATTAAAAATTAATTTCAATGTATTCAAAAATATATTCTAAAAAAAAATCCTTCAAATATTCATACATTATATTATTCTCTTATTTTCACATCCTAACGTGTTTCAATATAACCTTAATCTAATCAACATTCCAATCTTTCTTTCTTCGAAGTATCGTACAATATTCGTGTTCTCTACAAGACAAATTCAATGGTTCGCGAGATTAGTAGACGGTTTCCACCAAATTCAATTAGGTTTTTATGAAACCGAGGCGAGGGCCATTTATTACGGCGAACGGAAGAGGCGGAATCCACGCGAAGTGGATCCTCCGGATGCGAACTTGCGGCGCCATTCGGCCTGGCTGAGTTTCAAACCTTTAAACGGGCGAAAAACTTTTCTGCCATATTGCGTTAAAGCCGTGATTAATTCATTGGCGATAGTTATGCATCTCAATGAGGCGGAAAGCTGGCCCGCAACTTTTTTCACCTCCCTCTAGCCGGCTCTCATTTTTCCAGCGGATATGCGAATCGCGTAAACGGTTGAAATTTTGTCGAAGAATTCAAAGGATAGCGCGTTGGATTGGCTCAAATGGCGAATTTTAATGCATAAGATATTTTTCGTGAGAATGAACGAAATGGAAGAGAATGGAGAAAGGAAGGGAAAAAAAAGGAAATGGCGGGTGAAATTTATCGCTATCGTTATTCCGTTATTCCATGGAACAATGTTTACCAACTTTACGCGTAAGAATCTCTTTTTATGTGTACATAGGAAGATATTATTTTATGGAGTGAAGAAAACATGCAGGAAATATGTTTGAAAATTATTTTAAAGAAAATTTAAGAAAAACTTGTCTTAAGAAA